GCTCCTGAGAGGGTTGGGTGGGGTGGGAGCAGTGGGCCCTAGGCCTTTGACCCTCGCTGCTGCCTTTGACCTTCGCTGCTGGGGGCAGATTGGAGAGGTGAAGTCTCAGGAGTTTATTCCCAGGTTCTTAGTTGCTGTATGACCCAGAAGGGCCTCAGCATGTCACTAGCCCTTAACAGTTCAAAGTCACAGCCTCTGACCTCTCTTCCTTTACTGGGGTCTTTGCATATGGCTCCTTTTTCTTCCCATAAGTTAGGTGATCTCTTTACATCTAGCTACATGCTGACATACCAAAGCCTGCCTTCTTTGCCTGATATTCCTTTCTGGAAACCTCCTCTGATAACAACTAAACGGTCATTAAGCCTGGGTGGGTATGGTAAGCAGGGCCCTGTCGCTCACCCGAACCTCGCCTAGGCCGAGAGTGATCTGTGAATGATGAAGGCAAAAATATAAAAAGGCGTAAGTACCCTAAAACAGCCCCTCATCTAATCTGGAAGATGTAGGTGGCCAAGACAAAACCAACCGAAAGGGCACACTGACTGAACCGAGGACCTTCACCATGCTGGGCTTCTGTCACTGAGCTCCATCCACAGAGATGCAGCAGGGGATCAGGAAGCCCTCATCGACTTTTTAAAAACACGATTTTTTTATTCTTTCAGTTTCACACATGGAGACAATGTGTTTTGACCATATCCATCCCCACATGATGACTTTGCTCAATACACTTCAGTTTTATTGTCTCATTTAATTGGGGGCTAGGTACAGTGATAATAATTTTGTAAAGAAATAAGAATAAAACCCATGTCGAGGAGTTTGGAGTAGGGAATCTGTTTCTCTAACCACAGAGAACTTTCTTTCTGGGTGAGCCTGAGGCCCGGCCTTCAAAGCCTCCCTCGATCCCTGGTGAAGATGTGAAGTAGAACAGCACACACACACACACACACACATCCCAGGACTCAGCAGAGAGTTTATAAAGATACGCTGCTGAGTGGTAGGGGTGGGACTCAGCCAGATAGTGCAGCCTAAAACACACCATGCCTTGGAGTCTACCTTCAGCACCTAGGAAAACAATGCAAACCAAATTGCCTGGAAACAATGTCCAAGAGTGAGCGTCTTTCTTTCACGTGTTCAAGGTGCCGTCCACGATGGCATGGGAGTCAATGCAGCAGCAGCTTGACAAACAGCCACGTTGCTTTCACAACTAGGAAAACAGAGGGCTGGATGCCTCCGAGTGCTCACCTTCTCCATTTTATTCAGTCCAGCATCCCCTGCCCATGGCATGGTCCTGCCCACAGTTAAGATGGGTGAGTCTTTCCACATGTGTTAAGGTTATCAAGATTATGCACCCATCTACCTACTCACCAGACTGGAATGTCCAGAGGTCTCTTAGGTGGTGTAGATCCTGTCAACACCAGTCATTATTAGATATTCTGATTTTCTTTTTTTGGCAATTTTCCAATCTAGAGGGCTGAACTTATGTGGATGGGCTGTCCAGTGGTGCCAGGGAGAAAGGACTGCTTCCTGCTCCCCTACTGTGGAGCCTATATCTCTGCAGAAAGTGTGGGCCAAATGCCCTTGACTGACTGGAGTCAAAGAGGACCAAAGGAATCAGTCCAAACACTCCCAAATCCAGAGTGGACCTTGATAGAAGGACACAGAAGGAATGAGTGAAAGAACCAAACTGAAGGTGGGAAGGAGCTCTTGAGAGCCTAGCCTGTCTCTAACTATCCAGTCTGAGCCATCTGGGGCAGGGGTGCCTTGCAGGGACCTGTACATCCACCTGTGACAAAGAGCAGGTGCACTGTGAACTCAGATGGGTACGAGAGAAAGGATTCGTGGATCCTGAATCCCCTCTGAAATCACCTAAAACGTAGGCAAAACAATCACGGTTTGGGTAGGAAACGGGCACAGCCTCAGGCAGCTCTGAGCACCTCAGCTTTACTGATTTCTGACTCAATTTTAGTTTTGTTTCTTCTTGTTTCTGTGTTGGGGAAGGTGGTCTTGATGTGTGGCAGAGGCCGGCCTCACGCTCTCCACCCTCATCTCTCTGCTTCCTCAGTGCTGGGATAACTTGCCCACAGAGCCACACCTAGAGCCAGTGCCATTTTAAAAGTCTGTTTACTCTGAGTGCTACAAGCAGAACCCGGCCTCTCCTGCATTAGGTGGTTAGGTGGCTGCTGAGTCGCATGCTGAGTGCCTCAGTCTTTAGCTTATAGGTAAGAACTGAAATTTGGTTCCTAAGAGGATAGATTTTTTTTTTAATGTATATATGTGGCCTTTTAACTTCCTTCTTTCATCGGGACTCAGGCCTTTCACTTGAAGTGACCTGGAAGGCAGGCTGAAGCAAAGTGAACTAAAGCAAGTGAGGAGGGTTCATTTCTATCAGAAATGAGTTCAACGGCCTCAGCCATGAGATCCCAAATTCATGTTACTGAAAATACGCTCCTGTCCCGTGACTAAAGCCACTCTGTTAAGAGTGGCTACCAAGCCATTCTCCATGGCTTTCTCTTTCCTCCCGACTCTTCCTCAGACCTACTGCTGCCTGACTGGACGGTGACATTTTCCAGACTCCCTGGAAGCTGGCTATGGCCATGCGTACAAGTTCTTTCATCTCTGAGAAGTCCTAGAGGATAAACTTTGGGAGTGTCGAACAGAAGTGGAGAGCCATTCCTTTCTTATCTTTTCCAGCAGGTTTGTGGGCTCAGGAGGTGATGGCAAAAGCCAGTGCACCCATCCTCAATCCTGAGGAAAGAGGTGAAGGATGGTAGCCAGAAAAACTGGTTCCGCTGTACCTCCAGGATTACCTCTTCACACACCTCTTGTATGGACACATAAATAATCTATGATGCTGGAATCAGTTGTTGCCTGTAGCTAAGCCTTATCCTGATATACTTACCTCCCTGGGGTCAGCCTTTATCCTGACCATAACTTCCAACCACGAAGCACAGAAACTAGACAGGAACAGCTCCATGCTTTGGAGTTGGCTAATGATGCACAGACCTCAGATAACTTACTAATCCACTATTACCGCTTATTATCCGTGTGTCTGCTCAAAGTTTTCACTTGGAGAAGATTGTGGTTTTGGGAGAAGCATCTTTTTTTTTAAAATTGTGTTTATTTTTATGTGTGTATATGAATAGGAGCACACACAAGTGTGTGCATTTGTACGTGGAGGCCAGAGGACAACCTTCAGCGTCACTCTTCAGGAACTACCCACCTCGTATTTGAGACAGAGTCTCCCGCTGGCTTGGAACTCACCACCTAGGTTAGATTGTCTGACTAAAGAACCCCAGGGATCCACCTTCTCTGCCTCTGAAGTGCTGGAATGACAAATGTTTGTTACCATGCCTGGCCGTTTTTTTAAAAGATTTATTTATCTTATGTATATGTGTGTTTGCCTGCATGTATGTATGTACACCAGAAGCATGCAGTGTCCATGAAGGTCAGAAGAGGGGTTTGATTCCTTGGAACTGGAGTTACAGGCAGTTGTGAGTAGTCAGGTAGGTCCTGGGAACTGAACCTGGATCCTTGGTAAGAGCACCCGGTGCTTTTAACCACAGAGTCATATTGCCCCATGACTGGCTTTTGTGTATGTGTGTGTTCTGGTAGACTTGCTAATAAGGCAATAAAGCAAACTCTTTATTAATTGAGCTATCTCTGCAGCTCCAGAAGCAGCTTTTATGATGGGAGAGCATACAATTGTGGACATGTTGACTTTAAGGTGGTCTGTTAGTTGTACAAATAGTGAAGAACAGGCAAACAGGTCTGAATCCTAGCATTTAGGACAGAGGGGAAAAAAACCTGTTTACAAAACAGTGTGGTTGCCCTGAATCACCCAGGAATGGGCAGCAGAGCAGCTTAAAGGAATAAATAAGTGGTGGGCCACAAGGCCGGGCAGGGCTGAGGGAAGATGCAGGAGCTGCTGGGGCAGAAAGAGGGTCCATACGCTGTACCACACAAGAGGCAGTCAGTTGGGTCACGTATTGCTAATAGTAAGAGAGAGATAAGAGCTCAGACCCATCATTGGATTTAGCAGCTCCGAAATCAAGGAAGACTTTGGTCAAGTGCATCAGAGGAGTGGCTGGGAATGTGTTCAAGAAAGAATGGGTGGAAAGGAATTGGAGCTAGGAGACACCTCCATAGGTGTTTGCTTTTTAGAGCAGAAGGGAGTGGGAAAATCAATCAGAAACACAAGGGGAACATCTCTCCCGGGGCTGGAGGGCTGAACTCCCTTTGAATTTAAAGAAATAGAGGTCAGAGAATCCGGGGAAGAACAGGAATCCCGTGCTGGGTCGGGGGTAAGTCCCTGTCATTGTCTCATTTCAGACCTATGGGAGAGGTGGCTCTGGTTGTGGGTGAGGGGAAAGAAAAAATTGTTGGGGGCAGGTGCATCCGGGGGCTCTTGGGATCTACTGCCTATAGCAAACGCTCTTCGTCTGTGCATGGGAGCTTTAGGTGGGATCACACGTTCTCAGCTGAATTCTTGGCATGTGATAAATTCTCAGATTTTTGACTACGTTTGTGTTTGTGTGTTTACAGATCCCAATTATGGCACTGCTAGGGAGGTAATGCATCACGGAAAAATTATCTTTTTAAAAAAGGTACCATTTGTTGTGGCGATTAAAAAAGAAGTGGTGGAAACACCCTACCTTTAATCAGGGAGGTGGGAAGAAGAACGCAAAAGTAGTCTGCCTAGACCAGAAAATAGTAAGCAAAGATTTGAGAACTGGAGTTAGTGAGGATGGGATGCGCTTGGCCCCTCACCCTCACTTGCCTGCCTACCTGCGGGACGCCAGGCTTCCACAGGCCTCCGTTTGCCCCCGTGTCGTCTCTCCAGGCGCCGCGGGCCAGAGCCCTCACCGGCCAGCGCCCGCACCCGCAGCTCGCCTGGGCGTCGTTTAGGCGCCGTCACCTAGCAACGCCAGGCAGGCTCCGCTCGCGGTGGGCGCCGGGACCTGTAGTTCGGAGCCGCCTTCCCTGGGTCCGCGTCCCGGGCGGGGTGCGGAGTGGCGCTGGGCGCGGATTGGTGGCCTCACCAGGCGCGCCCCACCCGCCACTCGCGGCGGGCCGGGGGCTTGTGGCGCCGTCGGCGCATGTGCGGCCGTGACCGGCGGAGGTGCGGGGTGTCAGCAATCCGCGAGGCGCCGCGCGCCCAGCCCGCGCCTTTCCGCGCGCCCGCCCGCCCGCCCGCGGGTTTGGGTCGGTAGCGCGCCGCTAGCTGAGCATCCTTCCGGCCGCGCACCTGCCCCGCGCACCTGCCGCCAGCTGCTCCGCACTCCGCTAGGCGCTCAGGATCAAGCGCTTGCTCTCTAGCCGGTCCCGGCCCTGCCTGCGTGTCCTCCCCGTGCCGCAGCCGGGCCCGGGCTCAGCGCTGCGGCGGGCGAGTGCAGTCCGGAGCGCGGCCCGGGCCGGCGCGGCGCGGCGATGATGAACAGGTTCCGAAAGTGGCTGTACAAACCCAAGGTGAGTGGCTCCAGTTGCGGACCACGTCCTTCGCGTCGCGCTTTTCTCGGTCCAGTTCCCTTATCCTGCAGGTCCCTCCTTGGTGAGACAAACCTCGTTTCCCTGGCCCTGTGCAAGTCCCCCTTTCTGGTTTCTGCCATGCCCCTTTCCCGGATTCTGCGACTTGGACAGACCGTGTACCAGGCGCGCACTGACTGTTCTTTGGCAAACCCAGTACTAGACCGGGGTTCCTTTCCGGCTTGGGTGTATTATCATGTACCCTCTTTCTCGTCTCGGCCCCAGCTCGCACTCATTGGTCCCAGCCTGCGTGCTCAGAACCCATACTTCTCTTGGTTCCCTCTTGCGGCACCGCAGATGCCCCTTCATCTTTTCGCACCACAATTATTCTGGCCTAGGATAGTGGGCCTCCCTCCCACCTTCCCGTCGCACTTGTGAGCCGTCCTTCTCCACACTCCCCTTCTCCAATCCCTTGGCTTTGGTCAGACCCTTTCTTCCTGTATCTTTAGAGGGCCCACACACCGCGGTTCGGTCCTTCCAAACTGGACTGATTCGACCTCGGTTCACTTCGCATCCCTATCCGGGTACGGTACCCGCCCGCACCTTTTTGGATCTCTGACCAGTTCTCCGTTTAGTCGCTGGGTAAGGCTCTTGGAGCCGCAGCCTCTGCGGGCCGGAGGTGCGATTTGCTAGCCGGCGCCTCTCTTGGCTCCACCGGGTCGGGTCCCGGCGGCGCGACCCGCGCTTCGGCAGCTGCGCCAGTCGCACTGCGGGCACTGCGTCCCCGCCGCTTGCCTGGGGCTCGCGGTCGGAGCAAGACCCGGTGCGCTCTGCTCAAGGCCGGGCGGTGCAAAGCTGGGGTCCAGCAAAGGTCCAAGACGCACCCACAGCATCCAAAGCTGCGTGCTGGGGGCCCGCAGAGCCAGAGGACGTCAACGCTGGAGGTCTTCAGGGGGTTACGACCTGGGTGGGGTCACTGCAAAGACCAAGGGCGGGAGCAGTGCTGCGGCTGCTTGTTCGTGTCTCGGAAGTCAGAGGCCTCCTTCTCATTGGTCCACCCAAAGAACTGACCCTTCTCCCGCCGTGACTAGCCACTTTTTTTTTCTTTTTCTTTCTTTCTTTCTTTCTTTCTTTCTTTCTTTCTTTCTTTCTTTCTTTTTTTTTGGTTTAGGGTTCCTGTCCCAGACTCCGTGAATGATCTCTCGGGAGTGGGGTTTCCTTAAAATCATGTCAGCTGACGCGCGCGTTCAGGAGAGACATTCTGTTTGGAAGACTGGCACTTGAGGCTTGGGAGACCTCAAAGGATCATGTTTTTTTGGCCACTGAGGTCGGGAAGTTTTTCCTTGGGTTGGAGAGTGTTGGGGTGATGGCTTATAGAACGTGAGGCTGCCTTTGATCAGCCCTGGCCTGGCCAGAGGGTATTCTGGATTCTTGCACGCAGGTGCAGCAGCGGTTTGTGCTCTTGTCGTGGGGCAATTTTATCAGGCTCTTTCGACCAGGGCGATGGGTGTGGTTTGAGCCTGCTTGTCCTTAGCCACGCCCTAGACGTCTAGCCCTCTTTTTACTGCAATCCCTTCCATGTGCTCAGTCCTTCCTGCTGTCTCTTTGTGAGTCTGCCAGGAGATGCAGCAGCTCCTGCACGGAATTATCTGTACAAGGAGTGTTTTTCTTTCATTTGAGTGACTTTTTAGCACAAGAAAAATAAAACCAAACAACAACAAAACAAGTTTAGTGATGAACTTGCAGGGGGGAGGGATTTGCTTTTTCAATAACATGACAGGGGACTGTTTGCATGCTAAGCTACGTTCTTGTCTCTGGGAATGCTTTCGGGGGCGCTGGGGGTGTCCAGGTGTCATTTCCAGCGGTGCCACGAAGGGAAAAGTGTGTTCTGTGGCCCACCACCTAAGTGTTTGGAAGGGAAAGAGCAGTGCCTGCAAACCCCATTGATTTTCATCCGTAGCTGAATTTACTGTGGCCTTCCCTTGAGGTTGATCCCCAAAGTTAAGGATCGCACCCACAGAGTTCCCTGTTTTCGCAGGCAACTACTTTCTAAATGCAGCCCACGACGACGAGTGGAGAGTTGAGTTGGTAACCTTGGGTGATTCAGCCCAAAGGGGGGTCCTTTTCAGAAGGGAGAGGTAGGTCAGATTTCTCCCTCTGCAGTCCTCCTCATTGTCAGCCCTCAGAGCTGTGGGATGCTGTCCTTGACCTCTGGACTTGAGCCACAGCTCTGTCTCAGATCTCTGCTCTGGCCACAGCCGTCTCTGGAGCTGGTGCCCTGTGGTCAGTCTAATCATGAGCCATCTCTTGTTCCAGATCTGTCATTGGACTTCAATGTCTTGATTGTTTGAAGCATTGGCTTGTGTTATGTCATCCTTGTAGTTTTTATTTTTCAAACCAAAGCTTAGATTTTTGCCTCCAATTATCAACTGAATTTTATGTCTCCTTCTTGCTTGATTGAACATATTTTGACACAAGTGGGCACAGAGTTGGCCCTCAGAAGATTCTGGGTCTGGAAGAGTTAAGTACTAGTAGTCTGGAGGAGACTGTTGCTGACATAATTCCCTTTCCACTTTCCTATTTAGACCTACTATTTAAACCATATTGAAATGTAATTCCTGCTTTGGTTTAAACCGAACACACACAGACCTTGTTCATTACATGTGGTGGAAATATTATGAAAAATGCTGTTATTCCTACAGTTCAAAAAAGCAATGGGAAATGCTTAGAGAATTTTTTTTTTTACATGATACAAGTTTTGGTTTCTGAAGCACTAAAAACTACTTAAGTTGGGTGAAAAGCATACCCAGTGAATAGTACAATAGATGATGTTAAAATGACATTTTCAAGGCATTTTATTTCTATTGATTTTCTTAAAATAAGCCTTTGAATAGCTCCTTTTACCCCTTGATGGAGACCTATCAGGCTCACGGTATTCTGACTCTGGAGGCTGCGAGGAAAAGGCAGGCGGTAGGGGCTCAGAGGCATTTCTTTGGAGCACTTTGTGCAGGCAGAGGCTTTCTCAGAACATATGCTTCAGAAAGGCGAGGCAGTTGGTGCCCTCCTTGGAAACAAGGGTCTTATCTTGTTCTTTGCTTGGCTGTAACTTTCTCTGACCGACCTGGGTGGATATTGCTGGCTACCAGGAGGGAGGACGTTGGCGTAAGGTAGGATCCTAGACTGGAACCCTGGCTAAGGTGGGATGTCTGGGCTGTCATGGCGAGCTTATTGATGTGCACGGAGGATGCATTTATAGTTTCCTTCTTTGAGGAGAAACTGATTGGCAGGCAGGTGGTGCTTGTCAAGGGTATGGGGATGGTGGATGTGGTGTCTAGTTTCCATACTCAGCCATGTGCCCCACAAAAAGCCTTCTTGTTTCATCTCTAAACCTCTACCAGGGGAGGGGCTGTTGAGCTGCATGCCTGCTCCTTTGTTGTGGAGTTTCCGTGCAGTCCTTCACTGAGTGGCGTTGAGATACTGTTTGCAAACATCCAGGGTTCATATTACAGATGAGATCCACACTTAGGGCCCTTTCAAATGTGAGCCCACTCTGCACAGACCATCCCATTGGCTTCCTGTCACAAGCCTCCTACTCACATGTTCCTTGACTACTGGCCATGGGTGTGTGGTACCTGGAAGTGCAGTAGTGGGTGGGGCAAGTCTAGGGCTGGGACAGGAGAGTAGTGGTTCCTGTCATCTGCCTCCATCCCAGACCCCTTCCAGAGCCTTTGTCAAATTCAGCACTCAGACTGTGGCTAGGCAGGCCTAAGGAGCTTGAAGTGGCTTCTTTGGTCTTCTCCAAGCAAGATCTCTCAGCAGGAAGCTGGTCTCACTTCACAGGTTTTCCTGTGGTTTCTGTAGTGGGAGTGTGGGGCCTCACAGCTCCTGTGACTCTGCTGGGTGAGGGAGAGGCAGTGCTGCAGGCAGGGCCAGTGTTGTTTCGGTGGGACTCTGCCATTGCTCAGGCTCTGTTCCCAATCAGACTAGCAGGCTTACTGGAAATGTGTGATGTGGTTTCTGTTAAATGGGCGAGTCAGAGCTGGCAGTCCTGAGCTTCACTTAATTGTTATTTGGAGTTGGCATCCAGGAAGGTCATGTGGGTGTATACTCTTCCCCACACTAAATGGGGCAGTGCTCACTTTCATTCACCCTTAAGAGGAGAGATGCTGTTTAAATCAATTTTAGTGCCCGCTTTGGTACACCGAGAATGCCCAGGATAGCAGCTATGCCTCTCTTTGTAGTGAAATGCACGCTTAAGAGCCCATCAGTGCGGCACACTTCTGACTTGTCAGAATTGACAGCAACATGGTGCAGGTGTGTTCTGTGTCCTGCAGAGGTGTGTGACAGTGAGCTGATCCCAGCTCAGAGAGAGAGACAGATGCTTACATTTCAGTGAGTTTTAGGAGTTCCTCTCATTTTAAGTTGTCCCGAGTCTTTGCTCTGACCATGGCTTCCGTGACTATGTAGCACTGGATCCAGAGACAAGGCAGCAGAGGCTGCCTGGTCCTGGTAGCGAACCCTTGCCCTAAGCCTCTTAGCTCTGGGCCTTATTTTCCCTAGCTGTCTGGTGGAGGTGATGGGAGCTGCCATGTAGAGTTGCTGGGAGCAAAGACCCATGGTGGTAGCTCCGCCACAGCTAACTCATAGATAGGATAAGAGGGTGTGTCTTACTGCAGGAGCCCAGAGGCTATCAGAGCCTTCAACTGCTTCTGTTAGGTTCTCGTGAGGGTGAAAGAGTCCACAGGGGCACATCGCCACTGCCACTGCCCTTTTTTTTTTTTTTTGTGCCAAGAGCAGACCCTGGTACAGATTACTCCAAGAATCCCGAAGGACTCAGCCATGGAGAGCTGCAGTATAGCACGAGGCTACTACACCTCTTTCCCAAGGATGGCGATGCTGGCTGCCAAGTACTTGCCTATCCAGGCACCACCTTCCTGTGGCTGGGATGGCTAGGGCTGATGGCAGTCACTGGCAGTAATGGGTCATCTTGTCAAGCCTGGCCC